TAGTTCAGGGTCACTCGCCTCCACTTCCCTCACCACGGGGCAGCTTTCCCGGCTGCACGTGAGCCCTGGCGCGGTGCCCGGCGCAGGTGGACACGGGCAAGTAGCAGCCTTCCCTCTGTCGGCCCGCTGGACCCCAGCCACAGATGACTCGGCTCAAGTGCAGGCAGAGCGCTGTGGGGCGCCCAGGAGTCCCCTCGGCCTGGAGGGGAGGAAAGCCTGTGCAGAGCTCCTCCCCGGGGCATGGAGGGCCAGCCGCCTTGCTGCGGCCATGCCCGAGCCCTCCTCCTCTCCGTGTGTGCCTGGCAGGTACGTGCGGGAGAAGACGAAGACTGGGGTGGACATGCGTGTGGGGGTGCACACGGGCACCGTGCTGGGGGGCGTCCTGGGCCAGAAGCGCTGGCAGTACGACGTGTGGTCTACCGACGTCACGGTGGCCAACAAGATGGAGGCCGGTGGCATCCCCGGGTGAGCCAGCGTTCCTTCCCAGTGGGGAGGTGCGGGGGCCGAGGGAGGGGGCCGTGCGCCCCTCGGGGCTGTGGCTCAGACGAGAGACACCCCGGAGCAGCGTTCCTCCTGGGCGCGCCTGCCTCCTGGCCTGAGCCCGGCTGTGTCCCCTCCGCCCGCCGTGGGGCCCCAGGGCGGCATCTGGGCACGCTGTGCGGGGGCTGCCTGGGGAGGCCGGGTCCCCCGGAGGGCGCCGCGCTGGAGGAGCAGGCTCCGAGGCACCTGCACACCCGGCTGGAGCTCGGTCACAGACTCAGCCGGTCAGGGCGGACGGGCTGAGGACGCAGCCACGCGTTCCCCGCCTGGCTCAGCCCCTCGCAGGCGGTCACGATCCTCCCCCTCCGCGGTCACTCCCCAGAAACGGGTTTCTTAGCCCCTGGCGACAGGTGTTGCAACTAGGAACCCGCAAGGTACGCAGCGGTAGGACGTCACGACAGGGTTCAGGGCGGCCCTCCGAATTCCTCACCTCCCGCAGCGCTCTGCGCGGCCTGGGGACGTCGCCTGCCTGCCTCGTGGCCGTAGCGCCGAGGCTCAGAGGCGTGGGTGGCCTCCCCGGGCTCTGGCGGCCTGACGGGCCCGGGCTCCTCGCTGCCGTGCAGGCGTGTGCACATCTCCCAGAGCACCCTGGACTGCCTGAAGGGCGAGTTCGACGTGGAGCCGGGCGACGGGGGCAGCCGCTGTGAGTACCTGGACGAGAAGGGCATCGAGACCTACCTCATCGTCGCGTCCAAGCCAGAGGTGAAGAAAACGGCCACGCAGCACGGTCTCGGCGGCCCGGTGAGTGCCCCGGCCGGCCGGGCCCCGCACGGGAAGGCGGGTTCGAGAAGCCGGGCCGGTGGAAGAGCGGCCGGGGCCGTGGGGGGCACCCA